GTGTGTGTGTGTGTGTGTGTGTAGGGAGTGTTATAGGTTAGGGCTATTTGTTTAGGTCAACAGTGACAAGATGTGAAACTTCCTAACGACAGCACCAAATTTGTTGTTCTTGATTTGCCACTATCGAATTTTATCTGTAATTTCTTTTTTTGCTACTTTATCGTATTTAGCCAGATGATGCTATTCTCTGTTATTAAAATGTTGTTACTAATGTAATTATTATTTGTTACTGCTAAATTGGTATTTTTATTTTTTACTTCTTAGCAGTTTTTTTCATTCTATCATTTCTTCAGGAAAGATAGTCACGTCAAAATTGCACACCTAAATTTGATCAAAAGCCTGTATTATTTGCTTATTTTTAAATCCAGTAATTTTTTTTCTGCCCATTTTCAGCGTAATTGTATTGCCTTCGTTACTGAACAAATTTCTTGTTTTTGTTTTCACACCGATAGGCTTGCATTTGTGCCTTGTCTTATCAGTGGGCATTCTCGTTACACGTATCTTTTTGTTATGAACAACAAAAAGAAGTAAAGATAGCAGTGACAGATGAAACTGTAGCGAGCCACATTTGTTTGTCGATTGATTACTGTTCGACTGGTGTCGTGGTATGTGGTTTTTGTTCCCTCTCTCACAAAATACTTCCGTTTTCCAGGCAACTTATTGGTTCTGATATTTGGCTAGGAGTTCTGTTTGCGGAAGTTTGATCAGCTGAGACTGCCAAAAAAAAAAAAAAAGTTGTCAAACGAAAGTCCCTTTTGAGAACTAGGCTGTTTGATTAACGCAGGTAGGTGTCATCTTCTTCCCTCTTTATTTTCATTTAATTTTTTTATATTTTTGTCATACTTTTTAGAAATGAAACTCTCACCATTAGCGCTTTGTTCAGGTGTTTCTTTATGTCCGTTTCAGTAACAAGGGCTCTATGCTTGCATTTTTTGTTTTCCGAACCGTCTTGTCTTTATTATACTCTTCATATGTTTCAGCAGTGAATGTTTGCTTATCAGTGTCAGGAAACGTTTTGGTCAAACCTGTTAGACAAATTAGGTGGTGCAGACTCACCAACAACATTTTTCTGATGATTACGAACTTTTTAGCTTGAAGTACAAGAAACACTAATCATTTTCCTCACCCAATTAGAGAATTCAGAAGTAACCGTCGGAAGTTAAGACTTTTTTCCCCTCGCTTTTTTCTTTTTGTTTCTTATGAATGTCCAAATTTTGCTGTTGAGCCGGCCGAGACTATCCGAATAGGTTGTGGGGAGGGGGGCGGGGGGACTGCGGGCGGTTTTCGGCGTCCTTTCCTGTTTTTGGCGCTTTTGTAATTGGCGTCGTTATTTGCGCGCCATTTCTAAAATTTATGGGATGGAGTACGGTAGGAAGATAAACAGCCGCTTCGAAGATTACGAGCGACTGCCGTAACTAAATAGTTTTTGTTCTTCATTTACCATTGTTCTGCTTTAGTATATAAGACAATCAAAAGTGTTTTATCGATGGTTACTTTAACACATCGGCCGTGGCTTTAATTTTGCATGAGTTTTTTGCTCTCTGCTAGGTAAGCTCCTTTTCTTGTTACCGGTCTAATGTATAGTAGTCCTCTTAGGCACTGGTAGCTTTACACCAGCCAGAGTACTGGAACTAGGAATACTTAAGAGTCCTGTAATTGCAGTTGAAACTACATTTCCAATCTTTTCTACTTTTCTTCTCAATATATATCATGTCGATTATGAGTCTTATTTATTTGCTTTTACCTCCACTTGTGGAACTTTAACAGTTTATGGGTACGTTTTCTGCCCATCGTAACTTAAAATTTTTTTGTATTATTCAAGAAAGGTGCCAACTTTCGTCAACGGATCAATTTCCATCAGGAAATTGATCCGTTGACGAAAGTTGCGGTGTATACTCCAAATCCGTTAAGGTATTTTAAATATCAAAATTACAAATGCCAGGACAGTTAAAGTTCGCCCATTCCTCTCAAGAATACAATACTGTTGATTTAGATGGCAAGATCGAGGTCTCCAGCTAGGAGAGCTACTCGGCAAACTTCAAAGTCACCGTCACGCAGTACTGCTGCAAAAACAGCTAATGGAACTGTTAAAAGCCATTCACAGAAACAGACTCCACCAAGACGACAGTCAAAAAGCCCTGCCAGAGCTCAGCAAAAATCGGCTTCAAAAGAACGGGCGAGAAGTCGATCGAGTAGCCGGATCCGGGCTATGAAGGAGGCAGCAGAAAGACAGAGCACTCCACCTCCGAAAGTCAATGTGGCTCGTCGAATAACTTCTTTTTCCAATGAAATTGACAACAAGTCGAAGCCTAATACAAAGAGTACTGTGACAATAGGAAAAGAAGTGAATGAACCTCTTTTCAAACGTGAATACGTGGCTCCGCTTTTTACTCGTGATGGAGACAACAGTCTGTTCCACCGTAGAATCACGGGGCAGAATGAGGGTTCTTCATCCTCTAATGATCGTTCAAAGCCTGCCAGTGTTTTGCAGAAGAGGAGTAGGGGATGCGAGCGTGTTAACTGTTTCCTAAACGCAGTTCAGTTGAACATGGTGAAATTCAGATATTTGTACGCGACATTACTAGTAATTTTCACTGCATTTTGTGTGATATGTTACACAGGACACAAAGTAAACCAAACGATCAAAAATATTCAGGATCATTTGGCTGATTACGCTGTCAACGTTGTCTCTAGATACTTCGATAAAGCGTCAAAAAATGTAACTGATTGACTAGTAAGCCGCTTAACGATCTCATTTTCTTGTACAGATTGTTATTCAATGACAGTTTTGTAATTCTTATTGCCAAAAGGTTTGTAGATGTTTACTATTTTCAGCGATGATTTTTTGTTTCTTACGTAAGTTGACTTTCACACTGTATCTCTTTTGCTAGATGCATATCTTGAACTATTTAATATCCCGCGCAGGCTTCCGCGGTCTTAAAAATATCACTTGGGAGTTTTGGTTAAGCTTGGTTTGAAAAATTTTGGGCTTGTTTTTTAAATCTGTCAGTAGATGACGTCAACTTGTTTCGCTTTTCCTTTGGTATTTGGGGGGTGCTATGTGCCTGTTATTTCGTGGCCTGTGTCTGGTAAAAACAAAATTTCCAAATGATGTAAAGGTCGTGTTCCTATGACCATTGTATACCTGTTTATTTGCCATTGCTATTTGTTCTCATTTAGTAACTGTGGTTGTTAACAGATTCGTACAAATTTGGCCTACTTGAACTCAGTGCAAATATTAGCTCTTATCTGAATAGTTTGTTTAATATTGTCAATTTCATTGCACTTCGATTGTAGTAGTACCTAAAACAGATGACGCTTCATTTTTGATGCTCTACCGTCTTTCAAATTTCTCATTGTGGATCGGATTCTTTTGCTGCTTTTTGAAAGCATTTGATGTTTTTGTTTATTATTTTGTTTTGCTCCCTTTTTACTTGTCGCTACTGCTGAATAAATGTTTAATAATTTATTTGTGCAGCAGAATAATGAGCCAATGCAGGCAAGGTGTTGGCAAATAATAAGGTGAAGCTGCTTCAAGTATATGAAAGATATTGGAAGTCATGGCGAGTGTTGGATGCCGAGGGGTACTACTGGAGTAAAGGAGTAAACCACCTAATCCAACGCTTTGGCTTGCAGTGCTGGAGAGTTACGG